TTCATGATGTAGGATTATATTTTACAATTGTGTTGTATACAGGTGCATGCATACAGTGGATTTCCAGACCAAAGGTTTGATTTTGGAGAATACAAACAACAGGCATTGCGAGTTTAAAAAGTAACATAATACTGTAGACATTCATCAGTGTTTTATCTTACATCTTATGTTACCATGCTGGTTTTGTTTGTCTTCATGTTTCTTATTACTTTTGTTTGTTTGTTTTCTTGTTTAAGTCCAGCAAACTCAAACTGACTGAGAACAACAGTGATGGCTCAGCGTCATAAATCCAGTTTCGACAAACCTGAGCCCGCAGTGTTTCTTGGAGGGCTTGTGGGAGGCATGTTTGTCTCTCCTGTACATTTTTTGGTAATGAGGTTTTTATCCATGTCCAGTTCGCTGAAGGAGATAGATAACGTGAAGAGAATCACATGAAGAACATACAATGGGATGCAGGATAAGAACGAAAGCTATAAGGGGAAAGCTAATAACATACAGTAATATAACTTGGCTTTGTTTGTGAATGAATATGAATATAAGTCTCAGCAGAAAGCTGGAGTCTAGTTGTTAAAATGTAAAAGGTTGTTGTTGTGTTTTTACAAAATAGCAGTGCTGGTTTTAAGTGTACACTATATTTCTTTAAAAATGTTGTGATTGCCAATTATTTTTAAGTCTCAGCTCTCCAGTAACAACTCCACTATTCTCACAGGAAAGAATGAGAAACGTCGACATTGTCCTCTGACACACCTGCCTGTGGAGCCATTTATCATTTCACACATAGAAAATTTCAAGCTCCTCACAGGAGTGGCAGTGCTAACTGGAGAAGCAACTCGTCTGTCAGTCACTAATGTCACTATAAGCCTGCAGGTGCCTGGCTAAGCACAGGAGTTGCTGTTTTCTAGAGAGCCTTAGCCCGTTAATTCCTACCCTACCCTTTCCCTGGGTACGCCAGGGAAAATCCTGGTCATAGTTAGCTAGCAACATGACCCAGGTTCAAACAAGTGATATGAATATAAGTCTCAGCAGAAAGCTGGATGTTTGGATCATAGAGCTCAACATGTGAGCTCAGCAAACATAGTTCCTATTGATCCAGTCATTAGCGAGTACATTATATAATATTGTACGTGGATTTTAACACTTAAATTAAGACCATCCATCTGGGAAGAAGTGGCTTTCCATGTTATAAAATGAGGAAACGAGATACAAGTGAAAAACTGCACTGAAGTCAGGGCAATCTGGTACCTGGTGTGTTTTTAGTCTAAAAGTTAATGACACATACATCTTCTAGATTCATTTAAATTTGAAATTGACTGCATTATAACTAGATTGAAGAGGATAGAACAGTAACAAGATATCCAATTATCCAGCTTTAATATGTTGTGCAGTTTGCCTTTTATCCAACATCGCTATACTTTTATAAGTATAAGTAATAATTAAGTAATAGCAGTTTTAGACTGCCTGTTTGTTTTGTCTTTCAGGTAGAAGACAGAAATATACAACATAATAATTCTTAATAATAATAATACAATTCAATATAATAATAATACTACTCTTAGAAAAATGCATTACTTTTATAAGTTACATGTGAAGAGATTACTTTTCTTAAATTGACAGATATGTTTTAATATGGCTTTTTTTGCTTGCACGGTTTGTAAAACTAACATCTCTTAAAAGCAATTTTCACTGATTTTAGAATTCATTTAAAAAATAATCCCTTTAAAATATATGTTGCAATACATTCGTTTTAAAACAATAAAACTTTCCCTAACAGCACAATTTACTATGAGGAAGCTAGCATAGACAATATTGCCAGATGCATAATCTAAAGCATTTGTCTGTGTGTGATAGATTCAGCACAGGGAGGCAGTAATACGCAGAAGCTGTGCCTCTTTTCTCACCTTGTGGGATAATGGACTGAAAGGCCCAATGAGAATAATTCAAAGCTCAGTAAAGCCCTATTCTATGTTTTTATTCTTGGAAGTCTTTTTATTTCTGAGTTTGCATTTTTTTTGTGATTTCCTTAGCTTAATTTCACTTCTGTAGTTTGCCCAGAAAACAGTTCCCCTAATAACAGCATCCGAATTTAATTGAAATACTTAAAATCATGTTTCTATGGTCTATTTTTTTCTCACATTCTTGCATTACTTGGAAATGTGGCAATGACTTAAAGCCACGTTAAAAACATAGCTTCTAAAATCATAATGCCATCAGTCCATTGGCTTTTCTTACAATTATTAATAAAGTGCACTAGGTTAGCATAGATGCTGCTTTGATTACACCAAGTTAAACTGCTTAATATTGGCTATTTTGAAATCAAAGTAAAATATAAATACGATGTCAATCAGGACAGTTCAGAATTCAATTTCAAAATTAACATATCATCAACAGCCATCTAATTCAGGAGAAGTCAAAGTCTCGAGTGCCCACGTTGAAATGCATGAGCTTTTTGTGAGTCCTGCCTATTGGTTTAGCTTTAAATTGTACAGTAGATGTGTTTAACCTTGTTTGTATGCATTTACATTTTTTGTTCATTGGACAATTTGAGAAAGCTTATTGTTACTTTGATCTGCTTAGTGGTACAACAGACAGCACAAATCAAAATGCATGCACTGTTATACAGTTACAGTTAAGTTTGAAAGAAAGGAGCAGTTTATTTATACTGTGTAATTTATTTTTTATTGTATGCACGTTATTCCTAGCAGACTGTGCATTAAGTCTCAGCTTTAAAAGTAGTGATACCACAAAGATATCCCCCTGCTGCCTTTGAAGGAATTGGAACTGTAGGTTTCAAGATTTTCTTGCTCCCCAGGAGCGTACGTGTATACCTAGGGCTACCTTTCTAAAACAGGGAGCTAATTTTTTTACTTTTGTAAAATGGCAAACATTCAATGTTTTAAGACTGTAGTAAAAAAAAAGTTAAAAAAGTAGTAAAAGTAATTTAGATGTAATGACATATGGTTTGTCACCTAATAACCTTAAACAGTATGTGTAAAGGTAATATGCAATGTACCGCAAGCATTTGTTTCTGAATATGAGAGCTTATTATCTTAAAAAATAAAGTTGATCTATAATTAAAGGTTACGAACATCTTTAAGCTAAAGACACAATTTCTTATTCTTTGCTATCTGTAGTACTTACAGTATGTTCTAAATGTAAAAGAGCTGAATAATTTTTTACTTCCTAGAAATGAAAATATTAAGAACTACAGTGTGTAACAGCTTGTAATAAAGTACAAACACAGAGCTCATTTGACTTATAGTACTAAAATGGTCCAAATATAGATCATTGTTACATACTAGGAATCTGTTTTAAGACCTCTGATCTTCCTAGTTCATATCACTGGGTTAGATTCTGGTATAGTTAGTAAATGTATCCAATTGGCAGGTGATACTAAAATGTGAGGAGTGGCAGGATCTGTAGAAGCCCCGAAGGAAATGAAAAAGGTTTAGATTACTGTTGAAAAGACTGTTCTTGGACCTCTTGTTAATGGCTGGCAAAACCATTAAGCAACCATTTTGAAAACTGTAAAACTCAGACATGAGTAAAAACAGCCTCTGGGATTCGTGATCAGTGGCACTGGTAAAAACTGCTTCAGGGACTGTTGAGGTATGTGTAGGGAACACACTGTGGCTGAGATGTTAAGTGAAGGAACTGGCCGAACTTTATAATTAACAGATTTTTAGTGTTTTGAGAATTGGAAATGGAATCGGCCCAAAGGCAAGTTGTAAGGGACAGCATGTGTCAAAAACTAAACTCTGAAAATACAGAGAGCTACTCATGCCACAAAGCAAAAAAAAAGCCAAAAAGCTGAGTTTTAATTGTTCAGTTAATCAGTCAAAATAAACATTTTCCCTAAGGTCTTCATCATTTCATTATTAAAATGTACATTATCTGTAAAGCCCACAGGATTGTGACTCATATTGCCATTAAAATCCTGTTTATTCAACTTTTGCAATTCTCAGCTTAGACTGCTAATAAAAGAGGCCTAGATTGTTAGGTTTCATGTTTGCTTTAAGGATTTTTTCCCAATGTGCATCGCTGCCTTATGATTTTCTTTAGTATGTTACTTATAATGGATTCCCTTTCCTGGATGATATTTCCACTATAAGCCCGTATGAAGCTAATCTTTTCACAAAGCCAAGCAGGCAAATGCTTTTTTTAAACTGGAGTACTGTATGCCTTTGCATCTGTTTTTCAGTGTTTTAGCTTCATTTCATTAATAATGCATTGTACTGTGTATATAAAAAGTAGACGTGATACTATAGGGCTGACTCCAGCAGAATCAGATGTTTACCAATAAGGTTGCCAGTTTACAGGAAGTTCTGACTCTTTGTGTGTGAGCATCAGCTTGCATTTACCACACTCTGGTAATCTTTGTAAGTAGTAGATGGTTTGAAGAGATGGCTTCAAACAGGTCATTACACATTTACGTGCTGCTGTTTTAACATCTTCTTAAAGGATATTGTTATGAGGCTACACTCTCCTAACCAGCAGCAGTTGTATAGCTTGACCATCATTCAGATTTTTTCACAACAAATCTAAAAACACATTTAACAGCCTAGAATAGAACAGGATTACTACAAAACTGTTTCAGTATATAGAATACTAATACATAATTCCACAAGTATATATATATATAATTTCACTGTATACTGTATAGCAATTGGATAAATAATAATTGCAAATATATAAATATATAGAAAGCAGGCCAAGTTTTAAAATTGCACAATAATGTCATAAAATAACTTTTAGTCATATTTACGGCAGATTAGCTAATTGTTGCCTGAAAGCCAAAAGCCATCCAGCAAATGTAGCTGTAAAGCAAAGATCTAACTAAGGTTAATATCTCCAGGTCATGCGGTAATAATGTCATCATGCTGATGTTTCATTATCTCCACCTCTGGTGCCTGGTTCTCTCACACAGTTGAAAATGCATCAGCTGTTTGTTTTTGTTTGCTGAATGCCCATCTGAACTCTGTCTCTGTTATCCTCTTTGCTAGGCAAGGAAATGGGTCTGATGACTGTGTGCAGATTGTATTTGAGAATGCTGAACAGTCTGGACAAAACTCTGTGTCATTTGTGTTGCCTGCTTGAAGAAGACAACAGTGGTCTCACTTTGCTTACTTGGATTCAGTAACTCATATAAACCTATGCTACATGGCCAACTGGTTAGATATTTTCTCTAATGTGTAACACAATTAAACCTCTTGTTAGTATTTTCTAATAAATCCTCTAATCTTATTGTATTGTTATTTTGTTTCTGTCAATGCCCAGGGTAGTTAGAAGGCTGTTTAGCTTTTTGGTATGTTATTACCTGCAACGTAATGTTTATTAATGTTTTGTTTTGTTCTATTTCTTTTTCTCAGAAGTAATGACTGCTACAGACATTGCCTCTGACAGCTCAGTGCCAGGGGACAAGGGTTTATAAAAATAACTACATTTTCCCATTGATTTGTAAGTGTGAATGAATGTGAAATGTGCCGTTGTAAATGCTTATCAAAGTAAAGAGTATTTCAGGTAAAATTGGAGCCACTGAGCTTTTCATATGTGTGCGTTCATATATAATGAAGGATAGGTCACATTTAAAGCCTCTTTCGACAAGGCTCTAACTTACTGATGTCATTGAGAGAAAAATGTGTCTTGTGCCTAGACTGTTCTATAAATCTATAAATCATGGAACAGCTATTTTTATTGCAAGCATTTTGTCACGGACTTCATTCTGTCTCTTAGGACAGCCTTTAAACATCAGTGTGAAAGTAATTAGGAGAATTACGTTATATTACTGAATATTTGAAATTCCAATTTACAGTATTTGTTTGCACACTGTGTGTTACAGTACACTGAGACTTTCACCTTAGATATAAGCAGAGGATATACTTGACTTGAGCCCCGTAAAAACAACACAAGGCTACAAAAACTAAGTGAGCCCCCACTCTACCTTTGTTTTACCAATAAAATGTATTTCCAAAACACATTACACTGAACACATACAGCCGCACTTGATAATGTTCGATTTTCTAGGGGATCTGTGATAGAAGTCTTGTTTCAGCCATGTTTTCTTTTTCCATTTTTTTATTATCCAGATGGTGGCTGCAAAAACACTGGGGTTAACCCCTTTCCTCTTATTGTGACTTATTCACCACTTCAGTCTCCAAGACAGTTACAGTCGGAGCTTTCAGGCAGTTGCCGTTTTTGAGAATGTCATTCCTTGCTTTAATCCACCTTTTTTTCCAACCCTTCTTGTAGGATCACTTTGAAATGTCAGCCTGCATCCAGCATTACAAGCTTGTTACAGATTCCTGAACTTCATAGTAGTATACATTGAATCCTTTGTGTGGTTATTTTTTGCGTAGGGGGACTGGGTAGCTCAAGAAATTTTACCATAGGATTTGAACAGCCAGGGTCCCAGTGTTTGATCCCTGTTCGAGTCAGTGTGCTCTTCAGTGAGAAGGTGCTGGGCTCTCCACATCTCTGTGCCCTGCCCTGATATGATTGTCTCTGGTACTTCTCTGTCCTCTGCTCAGATTCAAGTATCACTTGCATGTATACAGTATGTGTACCTTCGCTTTCAATTTTACTTTTCACTTTCCTAGCATATTCTATGGTTTTTAATATACCATATTGAATTACAGTATATGGTATCTTTACAGCTGTACTTTCTACAGCTGGGATCACATTCTTGTACTTGGAATTATATTTTACATGATAAAGGTTCCAGTTGAAGCTTCTTATTAAGTCTGTTTTTAAGATGAAATAAGATTTTCACTCTAGTTTCTCTACCCAATAAACTCTCTTGAGTTGTTATTGTTCAGTCTTTTAGAAACATAAAACAAGGTGGAAACACTCTTTGATCTTTCCTGATGGACTCAATTAGGCTGAATCTTAATTTAAAAACACACTACCTAATTGCCCATGAAAAAGACATTAAAATCAGCAAGGGTATTTTCAAGAACAGTGTTTAGAGTTATGTATCTGAAGTGAATAATTATCTTTTTTTTTATTTCTTAGCAGATTAGCAGTTCTACCAGATTTGTCAAAGCACCTGACAGATCTCTAAAATAAACCTCCTGCTAATTTTCACTGATTTCACTCTGAAGTAAAATGAAGTAGTCTGGAATACAAATTATAATGAAAATGTATTAGTTTGATAGTTCATAATTATCATAATCACAATTATTAAATCAATGAACATACACACCCCTGTCTTTAATGTTGTCAAGTAAAAAACTATACTGCAAAGGAACAAGTAATAGGTTTATTCCATGCTGAAAAAAAGAAGAAAGAGAACACAACGTTTCGGCCGTGGAGCCTTCGGCCGAAACTTGTGTTCTCTTTCTTCTTTTTTTCAGCATGGAATAAACCTATTACTTGTTCCTTTGCAGCCTACGCATGCTGACGCAGCTACCCACCTAAAAAACTATACTGTTGAGGATTGCATTTGTGCCATTTTTTTTATTGTTTCATCCTAAACTTAAGAGAAAATAGAACCCCATCATCCACACATCCAATAAGCAACGGCTGTGCTTGTCAAATATCTGGGGTCCCCCAGCATCACTGCAGAAGTGTCTAAGTGCTGTTAGAGTTGGTCAGGACACCCAGAAACCCTGGGAACCTGTTAGCTGCATCATTTCACCAATTGATGCGAACTCTCCTGTGAGTGCACCATGTTAGAAATGGCAGATGGATCTAACCACAGCAGCACATCCTCTTCTCCAACCCTTACTGGAATGTGGGTTCTCAAAAGGGGGAAAAAAAAAACTATTGCAAAATAAGATATATTGTTTCAAGAAAGGTTATGACCCCTTCCCGTGCTACACGGTATCACAATTTAAAAGGTCAGGCTTATATGCAATACTAAAGTTGGTAGTATGGTTAACAACTCACAGAAAGGCACTGTGCTGGAAGAAGTCAATTTTAATATGCATTGATGGCTTTCTTAGACAGAGAGAAACATTAATGCAGGACTCTCTGTACTGCATATTGCTTTTCAAAATTTGATTAGGTTCCTAGTTTTCTCTTACTGTTTTTAGTTCCTTGTCCACTTCAAAGGCTATATGCACAGTTGTATATACATCTCATTTGTCATGCGTGTCAACAAAAGATAATACATTCTCTTTTTCATTTTTGTGCACTGCTCATATTTAAAGAAAAATCTGGCATTTTCCTGAGGTATTTTTTAAGCTACCGGGTATGTACAGTATTTGGCAGATAGCAAGCACAGGGTTTGACCTCAAATGAAAACGTGTTCCATTGCTGAAGGCTAACCTGTAGGGTATGATTAACCCTTCACCTTCTAAAAGCTGCAAAGAAGCAGATAAATGTTGTGTGCGGAACAGCCAGCTGTTTACAATAACAGAGCAATCAAATGCCAGTTCGTAAGTACTACAGACATTTTAGTTGTTGAAAAAGTTGAATGACCAGTTGTTGAAAATAACTGCTTTAAAACACAGCAATCAAAAGAGACTCTGGCTGTGTACTACACTACTGTCTTTTACAAAGATCCCTCTTAGATTATGGGTGAAATCCACTAAAATGTAGGATTCTAATTTGTCACAGTACAGTACAGGATGTTCTGTGTTATTATCATTGATAGCATTATTAATATCATTGCTTATTGCTTGTGTTTTCTTTTTTAAAATCTGTTATAATCAACATTTACTGTTATCCTATTTCTATTGTCAACAAATAAGCCATGTTTCAACCTACTGTTATTTTAGGTTGGGCAAATGTTTGTTTAAAATGTCACTCCGTACTGTCTAGGGGTGTTTTCATTTAATCAGAACGGACAGAAACAAACATCCAAAACTGCCTTTGTACCCCTGAACTGTATTTTTCATGCCTGCCTAGCGTTGATGTAGATGGGTGTGAATGCAACTATAGTGGCCACAGGCCTTGCCTCCACCCACTCTGAACCGATCGCCAAGGAGACATGACACTCGGAGTACCTGGCTGTAAGGAGATGTCAACACTGCACCAGGTGCTCCGGGATATTTAGTTTCTCCTCGGTGATCCACCATGGCATCACGCTGGTCCACCAGTCAGCCGATTCCTCCCTGAATTCCTCCTGAATCCCGTCTGATCCCGTGTCCCTGCCCCATTCCTTGCTGTGCCGTGCTCCCTTGCTCGATCCAGCCCACTGTGCGCGGCGTGCTGCCGGGTCTCTGACCGCCGAACCCAAAGCCTTCTGCTCCACTAGCGCTCACATCGCACTGCGTTGTCCCCCCGTAGCGGGCGAGACACTCTTGTTGCCCTTGGCGTGTGCGCTGGTGGTGAGATCTGCTGCTGCGTCGGACTCGCAGTCCTCCTGTGGTGCCGTGGCCAGCCATCCCCGTCTTCGCCCATCTGCCCTACAGCCCTGTTCCCTGCCTGCCTGCCTTGCTCACCGCCTTTTGGATCCACTGCCTCAACCCGCTGGCCACACTGCCTGACCCGTGTCCCGACCTGCCCCCGGGACTTGGCACTGGTTCCGGTCCTCGGTGAGGCGTGCCGTTCGGCCTGGTCCCTGGCGGGGTGCCTCTGCAGGTCCACCCTGACAGCACGTGGCTGGTTCAGCCCGGCTTCGGGAGCAGGCCAGTCGGATAGCGAGCGCCCAGCTCAAGCCGGTCGTTGGAGCAGACCGACTTGACGGCTTGACACTAATCTTGGCTCGGGTCCTCGCATGCCCCGTCCCTGATTCTTCTCCCTGTATCCGGCCCTGAGAAGCAGAGACTCTGCCGCTGGACTGCGAAGCCCTTGCTCTTGGGTCCGTAACACCTCCTAGCCCACCCCCGCCATCCAGGTGGGTGGAGCAGTGTAACAGTATTACAATAACAGTATTACAATATCTTTATGTTGCAAGGAAAGGAAAAAAAATATATATTTTTTTTAAATAGTCTGCAGAGGCAACGATTAAATGAACTTGTATGGTTTTTAAAATAGTGCAATGCTTGATATTTTTGTTTTTTAATACATGAACTACATACATGTATTAGGTACTGTATAAGCAAAAATGTTATATAATGTGAGTTGTATATACTATTGAAATGTATTTCACAGTCTAGCTTAAGTTTGGTGGAACATGCTGGCAATATAAATAAAAAAAATGTATATTGCTAAGCATGTATTTAATATGTACATCCACGTCATGTCATGGAATATTATTTGAAATGATAATATTTAATAAAAATGTAAGAAAACGCATTCTTGAATGACAAATAAAATATGATAAAAATCAAAAGTCTTTGTTCATGTAAGTGAGCTTC